CCCATAAAGACGGGTAGAGCAAGTTTTGGGAGGAAAAAACAAACTCTGCAAGCAGAGAGGGAACGGAGTTTGCATTCCCAAGCCGCCCCCAGGCCAGGGCAATTCCCACCCTGGGCCGATGCGTCTCCCGGGCAGTTGTTCCCTGGGCGCCCGAGCAGCAACTTGGCTAAGCCAAAGCCCCACAGCCGACCAGAGGGGAAGAACCAGACAAAGTGAGCCAAGCGTGCTGCAATGATGACATTAACGTTGAATATATCACCACCTAGCTAATGCCTAGAGACTACCTTCAGAACAGATTACTCGCGACAGACGACGGCTAAGGCAGAGGACAGTGCTGCCCGCGGCGCGTCTGGCTCGCCACGTACCTTTTGATGACAAAATGGATGTTGTGCCTCTCCTCCAGGATCCGTTTGAGCTTGGGGACGCCGTAGGTACAAGGTCTTTTGAATGGTATTTTATCGGGGATCCCAATGATTTCTACCGCCTCTGGGTCGCACGCAATCTTCCGGTACGGTACGGGAACCATGTGGTCTAACCCCAAGGCTTCAGCTGGAGGGCGAACACACAGCTTTAGCATAAACATGCGCTTTTTCTTGTGCGGATGATAAAGAGAAGGTGAAAAAGCTTTACTTCAAGTAGGTCTGAAAAGCAGAGCAAACGCCTGCTGTCCCGTTATCCCTTCGCTCACCCCAGAAACGGAGCCCCAGGGGGACGCGGGGAGCAGCACGGCCTGCCCCACCCTCCCCGCTCCGCACGGGAGAGCCCCAGCAAACCCGGCAGGCTCGGACACCCCCCGAACGCACTCCAGGGCCGGCGGCAGCAACGCCTCCCCCTCGCCCGCCAGCGCCGGCGGAGCTCGGGCACGCTGACCCCGCGCGCCACGTTTCGGACCCGGGCCATTTTACAGCCGAGTTAGAAATTCCTCAATATGGGGGATTCCAAATGGAAATATTGACATAACCTTAAATAGAAAGGCAAAGATTGGGAGCTGCCGGGCTAAAAGTGTTAAAAAGAGAAGGGAGTTCTAGCATATGGCTTCTGCTGCTGTGTTAGGGAACAAAAATGATTGCTATATAATGATATGCAAACCACAAGCGCTGCAGATGCATAATGGGATATTAACTCCTACTCACCATATCTGCTGTTAAACAGAATTTGCACGCACTCCCTAAGGGTGTTGATATCTTCAGTTTCTTTTATAAAACTGTCCCACTTATCTATCAAAACAAAATATAAGAAATAAGGAACTTCCATATGGTTCATACACAGCAGATGCACTTTTCTCTTGCGAGGTGTTAAGAATCAGGAACAAGACTTTGCTGCTTTAAAAATAATTATTTCCCCCTTCCTGCACGGATTCTGCCAGCCTGGCAGATAAGGTCTGGGTTTCCCCATCCCCAGCCTGAAGCAGCCTCCTCTGCAGCCGTGCATGGGCCAAGCAGATTCCTGGGAAATGACCCCGCAAAGCATTTCAAGCCTGAAGCGAAAGACCCTTCAGGAGAGAACAAACTCAACCTGCAATGCACCCTTGAAGCGCGCAGCGATTTCACAAAGCAGCTTCTTTCATGCCTTCTCTTTCTCAACTTTCCCACCCTTTTTTTTTTTTTCTTGGTAAAGCGCAGAGGCGAGGGTTTTGATGTAAACACGTCAGCATTTTTAGATTGCATGTTCCTTGGGTGGGGCCGAGGTGGGCAAGCGGAACTGTCTCCTCCTCCTGGGAAATTGCTAATCATCCTCTAGGCAATGCTGCAGACTAACACCCGGGGTCAGTGGGTTTCAACTATTTTGAAATAACGCAAAGGTTGCAGCTGGTATTTGCTGCTTTGCAGAGCCAGGCAGACCCTGGGCAAATGACTTAGTCTGCACTGTGCCCCAGTTCCTCGTGCATGAAGCAGGGACGGCATCTCCCTGCCTCCTCAGGGCAATAGCAGGAATTACTGCTGGGAGATGCTCAGCATCAAGGAGAGGAAGGGTAGCCGAGCAGAGAGAGACATCCCAGCTGCTCAGCTGAGATGGCACAAGAAAGGAAGGGAAATTCCTCGCTGCAACCCTCCCAGGCCCCAGCCCACGGCCTGGCACCCGTGGGACACGTACCTGTTTTGTCATGGACGATGGAGAAAAGGATGCGCTTTGAGGAGTGCACGTTCTGGATGAGGGGGCCCCCAGAGCCAGCTGCTTTCTGTCCTGGACACAAGGAGAGACAAGGCCAAAGGCACGATAAGAGGTGAATCGCAGAGGGCGCGCGGGGCAAGAGGCGCTCTGGGACCCCCAGGCATCACCCCACGGCAATGCCGACCATGGGCAGCACGCAGGGTGGCCACGGTGCAGCATCCCTCAACCCACACATCCTCAGAGAGGGACACCAAGCCCAGGAGTCCCACCAACCTCCGTCTCCCACCCCATGCACCTCTGACCTCCATAACCAGCTCCTCTCTCCTTACAGGTCAGCACCTGCCATTTTAAAGTGAAATATGTGGGCACCCATGTGCCTCCCATTAGCACCTCAAATGCTGCTAGATAACAGCTGAGGACCTCAAGAGGAAGCAGCCCAAGGCCATGTCTTGGGGGTCTGCTCACCTCTAGGTGAACATATGGGTGCATGCGGGGTAAGGGCCACTCTTTTGCACCCCAGGAAACCCAGGAAATGGCCCAGCCTCCGTTCCCCTTGCCCTCCCAGAACAGGGCCACTTGGAAGAGAAAACTGCTTAAATCGCCCTGCAGGGTCGGGGCGGTCAGGCTGTGCCCCCAGACCAGCGGGAGCTTCCCCCAGCCATCTGCAGCCTCGGATCCACCTTCCAGCTCTGCCCAGGCTGCCCTGGGACGGTGCAGAGGGCCCTCGGCCACGCGGGGTGGTGAAACCCGGCACAGGCTGCCCAGCTGCGGCGAGGTGCTGCACGAGGGAGCTGAGCTACTCCGGTGCTATGGCGGGCCGGTTTTTGGACCGATCTAATGGCCACCAAAGCACAGGGGTCTTTCCCCTTTCAGCTTCGGTGGGCTTTGCACCAGGCCCTCCTCTGAGAGCAAACTTAAGGCTATTACCACAGCAGTCGCTGTACTCCTGTGAGGAAGGCACCTTCAGGTCTCCTGAGGGCCTGGCCATCAGCACCTCGCTGGCCGCATTCACCCCGTGCAGACTGGAGGACACCTCTTGCTTTAGGTCCATGGCAATCTGCGTAGGCAGCGAGACACCGTATAAGAAATTGGTCATGGCTACAGCGGAGGGAGTGTCTTGGCTGGCGGATTTAGCGATCTGGTTATTTGCACCAGACTCCCGGCTGCCCTTGGACGCTAGGGAGATACAATTCAACTCTACACTAGGGTTCGGCTCTCTGCTGGGTTCATCCGCTGGCCTGAATGGGCGAGAAAGAAAAGAAGAGGAAAACACAGGTTCCTTTGGGTCCATACACTGCAACCAACTCACGCTGTGACCCACACACGACGAGAACCACCATCCTGCCTAGCTCCTGCTACAAGCAGGGCAAGGTTTGTTTGCCACCAAGATGCCGTGCAAGTTGGAAGCAGGAAACTTCTTGACGCAAGGGTAAAAGATTTCCCTAGAAACCTGGGGGACAGCAGTTTCAGACAGCAAGATGGGTTTAGTAAAAGCTGCTCACGTTGTCTGCCTTCCTGGGCCAACGTTTGGGGCAGATGTGAGTTGGACAAGCCAGACGAGCAAAGATGTGAAAGGGGAAAGGACAGCCTTCAAATGAGTCGTGTCCAGGAGGATGGGAAGTTCACGCTGCACTGATGGCTGCTTTGCTCTTTTTTCTCTGTTCTTTCCAAAACTACGGCTGCCATCTAACCTCTTCCAACTTCTCCTTCAGGCATCTGCACCATTTTCTCCTAGGGCAGGTAGGTCTTATGACAGTTCAAAAGGGTTATTAGCTGGGGCAAACCAATCTAGCTCCATAGCTTGGTGCATTTAAGGAGTAAAACCATCAGTGGGACCTTACCAATTGACATTTCAGCTATTCTCAGCTCTGAGGACTTGTGACAAGATCGACAAGGAACTCAGTCAATCCAAGGATGAATTTTATACCAAGGAAATGCATGCTTTACATGAGACAGGCAGCCATCGTTTCAAAAATGGCTCAAATTGTGTGTGTCCTACTTTTAGCTATCTCGGCCTGATTTTCCAGAAGTGCTGAGCCTTCAAAGCAAGTATTTGCTGGTGCTCAGCATTTCTCTGAATTGAACCAAGGTGCCTGAAGATAGGCAAACTCCAGAAGAACAGCATCCAAATCTGACAGCTCCTTGTAAAAAAGTGGCCAAAATAGCCTGGAAAGTGCATCCCCGCCACTACCCCAACCGCCCCTTGTCATCTGGTGCAAAATATTCATTTCAGCCTGCAAAGAGGTTTAAGATGTTTACACTGGAAATCTCTTTGGTGACGAGAAAGCACTCAGCTTAACACAGATGAAATTCTGGCAGAGACACGTAAAGTAATGTGGTTAACCTTGTACATTTAGATGCACTCATTAGGTATCCTTCCTGTTTTCACTTCATAGAAATAAACAAACAATCTGCAGCCCGCTAGACACTGATAAATCTCTCTCTGCAAGGCTGGATTTTGCAAGGCTGAACCTACATTTCAGGGTTTGGGAGGTCTGCCGCCTCCCAGATGGGGGGAAAACAGTAGCAGGCGGCTAGAAGCCAAAAAGCTGTGCGTGCAGCGGTGGCTTTGCTGCGGACTGTGGCGAGAGGAAGCCGATATCCGAGGGCCTCCCTGCCCCTCCATCCCCTCGGGGCGCTCCTGAAGTTACCTTTTTAGCCTGAACCGGATACTGTGGCTGTGCTCTAAAATGGCCATCAGGGATTTCACGTCGTACTCCATGGGTTTCTTAAAGCTGATCCCCTCGGGCAAGCCAGCGACCGCCAGCAATCCTGGCTCTTTCAGGAACCTCTCATACGGCAAGGGCACCACGCTGCTCTTCCCTATGGCTTCACCTGGGGAATGGGCACAATGACACACTGCATAAAATCATTGGCTTTTCCAGACAAAGTTTACTACCTCCTGCAGCCAACAGGACTTTAGGAGCAGATGTGACAGCAAAAAAATGTGACAGCACCAGCGGCAGCAGATCACAACCATTCTGTCCGACGATAAGGTTATTAGAACGAAACGTTTTCCTACGTCAGCATTTAGCATTTAAGGATCTGCAAGCATTTTATAAACATGAATTAATAAAAGTCTCACCAAATGCAACAAGCAGAAATTCCTGGGTTTCACAATAAAATCCTTAGCTGAGGCCACTTGGCACAAACCCACCCCCCTTGGAGCCGTCCTGGTTTATGCCAGCAAAGGACTGGGCCAATACCGATGGGAGCTGAGATCTGACAAAGGGAGGATAAAGGGTTTGCACAGATTTTAATCTCATGTTTACTGAAACATTCTGGGGATCTTACTTTCAGTAGTTTTTCTTATTTTACTTCCTGGAAGAAAGGAATTACTTTCATTCCTACTGCTATTACGTAGCCTCGATGCGCTTTTAAAAGTAAGAAAAATACCCGACACTTTCCTTCCATTTGACAATTTGAAAGCATTGCAAACATCGATACATTTGAACGCAAAATACCCTTCAGCAGTCAAGAAATCTCACCATTTCCCCATGGCAGATGGGCACATCGCTCATCCACATACAAGAACCCATATCCCCGAACATGTGGTACTGGCTCAGTGACACAAGAAAAGCACAAGTATCTTTGCACCTTTCAAAGCAAAATCACCCTGAGGAATGGGGAACAAGCTGCTTCCACTTTCCCCCGCAGCAGAAGACAACCATTCCCAAGAGAATCGCAGCTGCACGGAGATTTTCTAAAACAACTAGAGGCTGAGCGCCCCAATCTGACATGCTTAAGGGAGCCTGATTTCCAGACAAGACACTTTCTAAAACCAGGCCCCTCTAAAGTGTTTCAAGAGGAGTAGCCAAAACCCTTGAACTGCTCTCCCTTAAAAAAATTACTTTGGAAACCAACCTAAACCACTGCAACCAATAAACCCACTGCACAAAGCATGAAGCAGAAGAGAAGAAATAGCCGTGCATGAATGTGACCTGTCTGGCAAATCAACAACCAGATGTAGAACAACTGGCCACATGGCAAGGTTTCCGCTCCTTTATCTCTAGTCCTTCGGGGATCTCAGTCCATGCTGCAGCACTATGGTGAGGGGCATGCAGAAGGGAATACGGGACCTTGAAACAGTTGTGGGATTTGATATTGCTGATTTTCTTTAACGTCTTTTTCTTTCTTTTCTTTTTTCTTTCTTTTTTTACCTGTAAAGGATCTTACAGAAATCCTCGAAATCTTGTGGCACTGTCAGCAAGTCCTTATTAAAAGCGATTTCTTCAACATGTTCTTTGAAGCAATGCATGATAACTAATGATGTGTGACTTGCACAAGCCATCAAGGTTTCTTATAGTTGGGATGGATAATGTTTTAATTAAGCCAATAACAGAAGTTTCAAAACAAACCTTTGAACCACAACACTGCAAGTACACTTTCTGCAAGCTTGAAAGGTACTAATTGATTCCCTGCCTCAATGCACTGGCTTGGGCAGGTTTTCATTTCCCACCATCACCCCTCTTGGCCTCCCTGGTACTCGTGATGGGGAAAGAAGTCTGCAATGCCCACAGTGACTCCTTATCTATTCGATGCTCTGCAACTCCCTGAATATCTTTTTATGGGGAATGTGTCACTGTCAAAGTGACCTTCAGCAAGCCTTGCACTGCCATGCAGAGGCTCACGGTTTAGCTAAAGAGAGACAATAATAATCATTAATGCCTGCTTAATAGAACTCGGCGGTAATCAGTCATTCTGTTGGTGTGGAGATTACCGGGCTCTAGAGGGAATATGCGATCTTTTTTGACTGAGCATTTTCTAAGATTTTTGTTTCGAATCCCTGTTGATGGGAAGCAACTGAAAGGACAGGAAAAAAAAAAAAAGAAGAAGAAAGATAACTGTTAATTTCTAACAGCCCTATCGGTATTGGGAACAGAATCACCCTGAGGAACCTACTATCTTCAGTGTTAGTTCTTCTGAGTCAACAAGGCGGCAGGCTTTTCCACGAGAGGAGCACAGCCTCGCTGCGCTCACAGTGCAAAACGTGACCTGGGGCACACAAAGCAGCAGCCCCCAGAGGCAGGCGTGCAACCCCACGGTTCGATTTTCAGGAAAGCCATGTTGTCCCCTAAAATCAATGGAAGATGCTGTTACTCAGCACGTAAAAACCTCAAGCTAACGTTACCTAAGTTCAAGTCAGAGACTCCTTCGACGAAACGAGGAGATACCTGCCAAAAGACAGGCTTTGCCCAGCAGATTTCACCATCTCAAGACTCAATGAACATGGAAACAGCTTCTCCTTTTGAATTAGTAGAAAAGCACCAATGCCAGGATGCAAACCTACATCTCCTGGCAGCAATGCCAGGGCCCTAACCACTGGCCCAGGGACCTCCAACCTCCCTCTGCTGTGTCCTGCAGTTAAGAAGCACCTGATACTACCATCAGCAGCAACAATACTCAGCTGCATGAGGCAAGGCATTGTGGTGAGGCACAGACATCCCTGTTGGAAAGGGTTGCTCCATTTGGGACGCTGCCCAGGTAGTCCTCGCTCTGCATTAAATGCACATGCAGACCCATCATGTCTCAAAAACGTAGAGAGTTTCTCCAAACTGCTGCTAATATGAGAGTTTTCTATCCCATACATCCACATGCAAATGCACCCTGGTTGGTTTTTTAATATAATTAAATATTTATATGATATAATATAAAAATAATTCGCATATTCTCAAGAGGCCTTTAAATCTTAGCTCTCTCTCAGCAGAAGGATAACCAAAACTCCTGTTCAGCACGGGGATCTAACTAGCTCTATAATGAAATTCCCAGCTCATTCATTTGGCTTTTCTGCACTTCCCTTTCCTCGTGACTTGGGCTGAACCTTTCAAAGGCAGAGAGAGGATTTGATTACTCCCTTTAATGGGAATATCGCATCCAAGTCCTTTAAGTGGTTTTAGAAAACCGCAGCTTCCGATCATTACTGTCCTTCCCCGGGGCGGGGGGCAGGAGAAAATGTTGTCTCCCCTGTCTGTCTGCAAAACCCGCAGCGCATGTTTTTGGGTGATCTTTAAATCAGTAAAGTAACAGCAGCAAAAACTGCCCCGATCCTAGGAAGGAGACCAGGAGACGACTGCTGAAACGTGAAGCTATAAAACAATAAGAAACCTGAGCTTTGGCGCTAATGGCTGAAATGCAGGAGTCAGTCACTGCTCCTCTTTGGGCAGGCAATCCGTTTTCTTTTTAAACAAGCCCAGAGCGATGCAGCGGATGATCCATTATTGTTCTCCTGCCCGGCTGCTTTCGAGGTGATAGCCCCGCTCCCAAAGGGGCAGCACGCACCTCGCGCGGCCCCGGCCGGGCTCAGGCTCTGTTAGCACACCCCAAAGCCGCGGTGCTTAAGGGAACCTGCGCCCGGGAAAGCAAAACACCCACTTACTCAGCAGATCTGCTCAGCCGGTCAAACCCATCCTGTGCATCACCATGTCCCTGTGGCGAAGGCGATCCGGCACACAGGGGATGGTTGCTCCCGCCTGCCCGGTTCTCCAACCCTACCTCGTTGTTCCTACCAATGCCAGCGAAGGGCGCTGAAAGGTGAAGCGGGAGCCGCGTGCTGCTCTCGGCGAGCGCGGCCGCCACGTCGAGCAGCTCCGCGGGGGACCTGAGCAAGAAGCTCCCGAGCGAAAAGCAGGCGCTGCCGCAGCTCAAGCTCGAAGCCAAGCCAGGACTGTAACAGGCTCGTAACCTCTGCAGATTGAGCTCAGAGGGAGCTCTGCAACCCAGTGGGTTACATATCAACAACCATATGGTCATCTACATTTTAATTGCAGAATCTTTATTGCTAGGGATGATGCACGTGCTGGAATGGGCCCAGCTTGTCTCTCAGAGCCGAAGCTGCGGGGCCGCCTGCTAGAAAAATCATCTTTTTCCTTTTAAATAGACTTGCTGTGGAAACAAGTGAGAGAAGCACTGCAGAGCCCCGACACAGTGCTTGTAAAAGAGGTGTTGTAGAAGCAGCATTAGGAATAAAAGTGCATTTAAAAATTACACTTGGAGCACAGCAGAGGCTTCAGATTGCAGGGGGAGACAAAGCATGCTTCCCCCGCAAGGCGATTTAGTTTTTGGCACTTAATTACCAGTTTGGGGAACAGCTTCTTTCATTGTCCGCCTGCAAAGGAAAAGGCAACGGCTGGACCCAATTTCAACGCAACATTAACGCGTAGCCCACTTCTACATAGCTCCTGAGCAAGAGTCAGGTACAGCACCACTAAAAAATATGTGCTGAGACTGACTCCTGTTCAGGAGCTCACCTCGTCCCTGGGAGCTCTGGAGGTGCCTGGAGCTGCAGGGCCTTTGCACCAGGCACTGCGGGCATGGGATGGACCCGCGCTGGCACCCGAGAGCCCCGGGAGTGGGTCCGGGGTGGCACTGGGGCAGGTGTCCCGCGTCGCAGCGGGCTCCTCGACATCGCGGCTGTTGGAGAGACCGGTCGCTGCGGCTGAAAGCAAAATCCCCAAATGGAATCGGGAAGGTTCTTACTATAAAGCACATCAAACACTTCCTCTACCATCTTCCTGAGGAGGTAAACGTCTGATCCCTGGTCCGGGGAGACCCTGAGCACGTTCCGCCCACAGTCCTTGGCCTTCTTCGGCATGTCCGCGTCCTGCTCCTTCCTCTGCTGGACCCCTGCGGGAGAGAGAGGACAACGTGGGAGACACTACAAGGACAGCGGGTTCAACAGGGGATTTTACACGCGCTTTTGAGCGGCTGCAAAACGCTCAGCGGTGAATCCCTGAAATGATACAACCTTAAAACTACTAGGGCTCAGTCCTTCAGTGGGCTGAGCGTGATGGTGACCAGCGAGAGCCGCGGCGGTGGCGAATCAAGCCCTGATATCTGCACCTCTCCTTCGGCTATGCAGAAGGGACACCAGCTCGGACGTGGGCACGCAGAGCTCAGGTCCACCACAACGGTGCGGGAGCTGCTGCCCCGCGGGAACGCCGGCGTGGCCAGAGCCACGGGGCCCGCAGCCCCGCTCCGAGCAGCCGCCC